CACTACACGGCAGTGCCGTAAAACGTACAAAACATATATTAACAATGATAAAAATATGAAACAATTTTTTAATAGGATAAGGGTAACAAGTGAGCGCACAGTACACCTGATGGTTATTGGCTGCTGTGGCCCATAGACATCTATATCTATCCTCATTTGCGAATCAAAATGCAGATGCGTTGTCAGACGTGAGGACTAAGATGGAATGCCTCTTTTCCAGTGGATAAGGTCTCCGGTTCTCTACACTCACCATACCGAACACAGCAGCATTAAGCTGCTATTTTACGCTGGTATTCTGTGAGAGCGTGGTCCTTCCCCGGTCGAGCCGACCCATTCGTGCTACAGCTATACTAGTAATATAGCAGCAGCATGGCGCTACCACGTTTGAAAAAATACTTCTAATGACAAGTTTACTATGTAGGAGGACATTTATGCCCAGGAGTCTGTCTGGGTAGGCTATCACCTTTTTATATATTTCAGCCGCCAAGCAAGCCGTGTAGTGGATGTGTAAGAATATCCACTACCCCATATTATCTCGCGAGTGTCGTAAGATGCGTCAGAGAGAAACAAATCAGTAGATTGGCAGCAGCGTCTTCCTAATAACGACTAAAAATGCGTGAGTGTCGTGGAACACTCGGTTGGAACGAAGTTACTTGCATAGTATATTATTATTGATAAACATAGGTATTATACTCGTATTATTGATTAACAAATACAAAGAAATGAATTACTAACGTCTATTAAAATGAAGCGTCATTTGAAATAAAATAATATTTCCTTCATGGCAAAATATAAGAAAAAGTGCGAGGGAGATTGATATTATTCCATCTCACTTCCTTATTTCGCCGCCAAGGCCGTCTACATTATGACACAGGGGATAGTGACGAAAAAATCTTACACTTTTTGTCGCCTAGCTCTCATCCGCCAAAACCGTATCGTGCGATAAGGAACTTCGTTCCAATAAAAAATTGCGGTTGCTAACCCGCTAATTTTGCGGCAGTTATACCCCCTATGAGGCAATCTATAGGGGAGGCTTATCCTCTCAACCGTCCACGGTGACTACAGTCCCCAAAAAGATTATTGCCTCACCTGTCCATGGTCACTACAGTCACCAAACGACATCTTTCGTTTAAAGTGTACAGTGCTAAAGATAGTTGTTAATAATACAGTAGAAAACGGTGGTAGAGCCACGCAGCAGTTTTTCCTGTTGCACGTATGGGCCCGGCTCGAGCCGGGTTGGTACCACGACCTCACAGAAAACCGGCGTGAAGTAGAAGCTCTGCTTCTGCGTTACGTCTGGTGAGTGCAGGTGGCCGGAGGCCCAATTCCCCCCCTCCCATCAACATGGTAGCGGAATTACACGATAGACTACCCCAGGAGGGTAGCCTGGAGAATTCCTCGCTGAGCATCCACGACCATGTTATTCCGATCCTGAGCGTGGGTGCTCAGGCTGCCCCGCGTATTCTGGGGAGGGGGGGGGGGGGCAAAATTCCGCTCAATACAATAACTGCTCGGGGCAAACTGAGCAACAATACCAAGGCGACCCCTGCCACGCTGTCCGTGGATTTCTGCAACATCAGGGGACTTCTCTCGAACCTAAACACCGTCCACTACCATCTCGAGACGGCGAAGCCGGCCTTGCTCTTGCTGACCGAGACGCAGGTGTCCTCTCCGGCTGATACTTCGTATCTCTCCTACCCGGGGTACAAATTGGAGTACTCATTTGTGCCTCAGGCTGGAGTTTGCGTATACGTCAGAGAGGACATCTGTTCTCGACACCTCGGCAGTCTTGAAGGTTCGGACCTGTCCATCCTTTGGCTACGCGTAGACAGCGGCGACCATCCACACGTCTACGGGTGCCTCTATAGGTCCCATAGCGGTAATGCTGAAACAGACCGACTCATCGACCACGTCCAAATGGCTACAGATTCCTTGCTACAACAGGTCCCATCCGCAGAGATCGTGATCCTTGGCGATTTTAACGCCCACCATGCCGAATGGCTCGGTTCACGTTTAACCGATCATGCGGGGAGATCTGTTTATGACTTTGCCTTGGCATATGGTCTGACACAACTGGTTACATCGCCTACGCGGATTCCAGATGTTGAGAATCATACACCTTCCCTGTTGGACCTTCTGCTGACCTCTAATCCGAACGAATATCAGGATTCCGTCGATGCCCCTCTTGGCTCTTCGGACCATTGTCTGATCCGGAGTGTGGTGCCACTCACGCTCCCCTCGCGGCTGCGTTCTGCAGGTTGCCGCCGTGTTTGGCGTTACAGGTCGGCGGATTGGGACGGAATGCGGTCTTTCTTTGCTTCCTACCCTTGGGGGCGGGTTTGCTTCTCGCCGGATGATCCCAGCGCTTTTGCTGACTCTGTCACTGATGTGGTGCTACAAGGAATGGAACTATTTATTCTATCAGCTGTGGTACCCATCGGAGGCAGATCTCAGCCTTGGTTTGGTCGCTCCTATAAGACTGCATTACGCAGTAAGCAGGAGTGTTATCAAGCCTGGGCTGCGCTTTCGGCGACTCGGGATGTAAACACCAGCACACTTAAAAAGAAGTATAACTTCGCATCCAGGTCCTTCAAAAGAGTTATTGCCAAGGCAAAGTCAGAGCACATCGGCAGAATTGGCGAGAAACTAGTTCGCCTTCCTTCGGGAACCCGTGCATTCTGGTCTCTCACCAAGGCTGTCTAAGGGAATTTCTGTAAGCCATCACTACCATCTCTGCACAGGGAGGATGACTCACTGGCCCAAGACGCAAAAGACAAAGCCGACCTTTTAGGCTCCCTTTTTGCGTCCAACTCGACTCTTGATGACGGGGGGAAAACACCGCCGACCATCCCGTGGTGTGAGTGCTCCATGCCGGATGTGCTGCTCTCACAGCGCTCGGTTCGCAAAGCACTGCTCTCCCTGGATATCCAGAAGTCGAGTGGGCCTGACGGAATCCCCCCAATTGTGCTAAGGACGTGTGCTCCGGAGTTGGCACCGGTGCTAACGCGTCTTTTCCGGTACTCCTACTCCCAAGGCGTAATCCCGAATTCATGGAAGACAGCTTTTGTCCACCCGATCCCTAAATCGACCGCTCAGACCCATCCAACTATAGGCCTATCGCGATCACCTCCTTGTTCTCCAAAATAATGGAATCCATTATTAACTGCCACCTCATCCGGTACCTTGAGGATCACCAGCTGATTAGTGACCGCCAATACGGTTTTCATCGGGCTCGATCAGCTGGTGATCTTCTGGTCTACCTGACCCATAGATGGGCGGAGGCAGTAGAGTCCAAGGGGGAGGTGTTGGCCGTTAGTCTGGACATTGCGAAGGCCTTCGATCGGGTTTGGCACAAAGCGCTTCTTTCGAAGCTCCTTTCCTATGGGCTTCCCGAGAAATTGTGCAATTGGATCACCAGCTTCCTTGCAGATCGAAGCATCAAGGTCGTTGTAGACGGTGCATGCTCTGACTACAAGCCTATTAACGCTGGTGTTCCACAAGGCTGTGTGCTATCACAAACGCTGTTTTTTCTGTATACACCGGTCGTGCCAATATTTCCCGGGAAAACGTCGCCGAGTACCGGAACAAACTTGTGTCTGAAGTCGAGTCTTTGCTGGACAAAGTCTCGGATTGGGGGCGACTAAATCTAGTCTAGTTTAATCCTCTAAAGACACAAGCTTGCGCGTTTACCGCTAAAAAGAACCCCTTTGTCGTATCTCCTCAGTTTCAAGGCACTCCACTTCTTGCTTCAGCCAGTATCGGTATCCTCGGAGTCGACATATCGAGTGACGTGCAGTTTCGTGGTCACTTGGAAGAGAAGGCCAAATTGGCCTCTAAAAAGCTTGGCGTGCTCAGCAGAGCGGGTCAGTATTTCATGCCGGCACACCGCCTGCAACTTTACAAGGGGCAGGTTCGGCCTCACATGGAATATTGTTCCCATCTCTGGGCAGGGGCTCCCCAGTGCCAGCTCCTTCCACTTGACCGCATCCAACGCATAGCGGCTCGAATCGTCGACGACCGAGCCCTTTCCGATCGGCTCGATTCATTGGCACTGCGAAGAGATGTTGCATCCCTTTGCATTTTCTTTCGTATCTACCATAGGGAGTGCTCTGTGGAATTGTTCGGATTAATCCCAGCCGCCAAATTTCACGAACGCACATCGTGGCAGAACTCCCGATACCATCCACACCATCTGGATGATTGGCGGTCCACCACTGTGCGATTTAGAAGATGTTTTCTTCCTTGCACGACTTCCTTGTGGAATCGATTACCATCAGCGATTTTTCGGACCGATACGACTTAGGGACCTTCAAGAAAAGAGCGTACTCCTTTTTAAAAGGCCGGCAACGCATCTGCAATTCCCTCCCTGGTGTTGCAGTTGTTCATGGGCGGCGATAGTCACTTACCATCAGGTGAGCCCCATGCTCGTTTGCCCCCTCTCCTATAAAAAAAAAAGAAAAAAAATAGAAAATAATAGATGGTGCTATATTAAGTTTGTCATCCGTGAGAGTGAATTTTATTTGTGCAATGGCAACAAGATATTTAGAAAAAAAATGTGAAAATGGCGGTTTGCATTTATGTTTAGTTATTTTAGCAGTTTCATTTAGGAGGCTATAGAGAACCAGTATAGTTACGGGTTAGGAGACATTACGTTTTAGTCTTCAGCCTTCTTTGTTTGGAGTTGGTTGCAGAAGTCCATGGGCTGCAGTGACCACTTATCATCCGGTGAACTATAAGTTCGGGTTTCACTTCAATTGTATAAAAAAGAAACAAATGTATTGCTGAATTTCTTTTGAACTTAACCGTTATAGCGCTTATGGTAAATCGACAATGAATATTGCGATAGACATATTTAGTGGTGTCAATGGTTTGCGGGCGATCGATGTTTTCAGACAAGGAAACTTAAGACTCCATTGGGTACTCAAATATCATAAAAACTTGTGCAGTTGTGTGTGTGTGGGTGTATGTGTGTATGTTAAGCAATTTCATCTTGTACAAACCCTACGGTGCCGTTGTCAAGATTCTGGAGGTGCTTGTTAAGAGTCTCTTGAATATTCTGCTGCGAATACAGCCCAATGGGTGAGTTGAACTGCTTGTGCACTATCTTCGGGCCCGTGGCCATCTTGGAGTCGTTCGTTTAACGCTGTAACATCAAAACTTGAGGTTTATACATTGTAATATCGACCGGCTTTTTAGTTCACAGCAAAAGGCCTTCAACAATATGGCCAAGAGAAGAGCGTTTTTACGTGGTAGAGCCAAGTTGCAGCTATATTTATAGTATAGTTGTAGCACGAATGAGTCAGCTCGACCGGGGAAGGAACACGCTCTCACAGAATACCAGCGTAAAATAGCAGCTTAATGCTGCTATTTTTCGTACTGTGAGTGTAGAGAACCGGAGACCATTTTTACTGAAAAAGAGGCATTCCATCTTAGTCCTCAAGGCTGACAACGCATCTACATTTTGATTCGCAAACGAGGATAGATGTAGAAGTGTATGGTTCTCAGCAACCACTTACCATCAGGTGGACTGTGTGCTCGTTTGTCACCCTATTTTTATAAAAAAAAGAGCCCATACTCGTTACTCTGAGCTGTTTGTGTGAGGACCTTCATACAAGTAATACCGCTTCCCTTCAGTGATGTGTGAGAAAAAAACCCTTTTAAAAACGCTATAGCCTATATAGCGTTTTTAAAAGGGTTTTTTGTACCGTTCCGTTTTCATCAGTCACTTCCCAAACCCACGTCCGTCAGGGGGCACTTAGTAAAGGTGAGGTTAGCATTTAAAAAAAATGTAGATAAAAATATATGTTACTTAAATCGCATCCCATAGAAACATTAAGTTAATATTGTTAGTGATATTATAGCTGCAGTACGAAAAGTACAATAGCATCACAATGCTGCTGTGTTTCGTATGTTGGGTTTAGAGAATTGGGGACCCTTTTTACAAGTAACGTGTCGTAAGAGGCGAAAGGAGAAACGGACAATAAAATGGGCTCCTGGCGTCTTTCTAATAACAAGTACGTTTTATACGTGATAGAGCCATGCTGCAGCTATATTAGTTGTATTGTATCACTAATGGTTCGGCTCGACCGGGGAAGGACCACACTCTCACAGAATACCAGCGTAAAATAGCAGCTTAACTCTGCTGTGCTTCGTATGGTGAGTGTAGAGAATCGGATTTCCTATTTACTGGAAAAGAGGCATTCCATCTTAGTCCTCACGGGTGACAACGCATCTGCATTTTGATTCGCAACCGAGGATAGATGTAGATGTCTATGGACCACAACAACCACTTATCTTCAGGTAGACTGTGCACTCATTTGTCACTCTAACCTATAAAAAAAACTAAAAGATAAAAAACTGCAATTGCCAACCGGCCTGCCAATTGTAGCAACTTTAGCCTCTATCTAGATTGCCTCTTAGTTCCTCAAACGAGACAGTGGACTTCTGATAGGCTGTAACGGTAACGTTAACAGGTATTAATAATAAGAATTTGATTTTGATTTTAAGTGTCAGCTCTACATGCATATACTTAGTGTCTTAATTACAAGAATAAATGAATTTACTAATAAAACATTATGTTATTAAAACACAGATAATGAACGTTATCAAAATAACAATAATATTATTGAAACACAAACAATTCCCGTGGGGGTGGTGTAAAGGAATCCATCGCCTCATTACGGTTTGTCAGAAAGATAACATGGATTCCGTTAGTGGTATAAGTATTACGTTTAAATGCGATCGCCATGCATGCATGGTGATTTTTTATATTATCTAAGCCTTAACTACAATCCCACCTGATGGTAAGTGGCGATGTAGCCTAAGATAGTGAAGAGCACTAACTCTACAAAAGCCTATTTTCACTCATGCCTTGAAGAGACCCACATTGTAATCGGATAGAAAGACAAATGCTGGCGGCAACTTATTCCACACCTTTGCTGTACACACGGTGAACCATGTAGCAAGCCGTTTGGTTTGAATGCGTGGTAAGTCAAGAACGAAAGGGTGGAGACTGGCTGAACGTCTGATTGCCCGATGGTGGAAGACAGAGAGAGGAATTAAATTATGCAATACTAGCGCACACTCTCCGAAACCCTAATCCTAAACCGAAAGAATGGCTACTTTGCGCCCGTGTTCTAGGTTGGTAAGATTGGTTTTAACCAAATTCGGGTCACTAATAAGCCTCTTAGCACGCCTTTCCATTACTTTAAACAATGAGAAGCTCATTTCCAGCTGTGGACTATACATTACAGGCCAGTTAATAAAAATTGTAAACTGTTTAATAAAAACAACGGACATGCAATCGTACTTAACGTACATGTATGGTTACTATATTAAGGGCGGATTAACTGAAATCATAATGTTTGATGTTGTGGGTGTTCAAAAATATTTGAGGAAGATTAATAATTTCAATAATTCAGAGACTAGATGGTTGAATATTGATGATCACTTTGGAAGTTCCAAAATAATTGATCACCTTAACTACTACCTTGCTTTTGATTTTGATGCTGATTTTATAAGAGGTATACACATAACCAGGGATCTAGTAGATTATTTTTATAAAATTATAAGACACGAAATTATGTCAATTGATTGATTTATCATAGGTATGAATAAAATTATTTTGTATTTTGTTTCTCTCTTCATAATTTGTTTGAATGGTTTGAATAGTTTACGTGTAGAGTATAACTTGCTTATGTACACTCTAAGCTCGTTAGAGATATTTTTTTATTTTTTTGTGGAGGGAGACTGCAAAATATTTTAATTATAAGAAAAAAAGCCTTAAACTCCTTATAGTTTATATAAAATAAATATTTTTTTCCATTGTAGTGTAAATATAAAAGGTGTTATATAATATTTGCGAAAGATTTGTACGTGGTAGAGCCATGCTGCAGCTATATTAGTAGTATAGTATATAGTATATATATATATATATATATATATATATATATAGTAATATAGTAGTATAGTAGTATAGCACGAATGGGTCGGCTCGACCGGGGAAGGACCACGCTCTCACAGAATACCAGCGTAAAATGCAGCTTAACACTGCTGTTTCGTATGGTGAGTGTAGAGAACCGGCGACCCTTTTTACTGGAAAAGAGGCATTCCATCTTAGTCCTCACGGGTGACAACGCATCTGCATTTTTTCCCACACGAGGATAGATGTAGATGTCTATGGGCCACAGCAAACACTTACCATCAGGTGGACTGTGTCCTCGTTTGTCACCCTATCCTATAAAAAAAAAGAACAAATACACTTTGATATTCATACATATTTTATTTACTTAATATTCAAATACATTAAGCTTGTCATAATTAATCGAAAAAAATGTTCGAGTGTTTTTCAGACGCTCTAAAGATTAGATTGTCAATTTTTATCCTCCTCATGAGATAATTTTATTACGGCCGCGTAAGATTCGTGCCCCAGGGTTAGAGGAAAGCCCGGCGTCTTATTGCGTTTTTATTAGCCGCGGTACCAACGGCGACAGCTATAATATTTTTCCCGAATAATGTGCGAGAGACAGGTAGCTTTGTGCAAATAAGTTTTCAATATCAGCATCCAGTGAGGCGGAGGGGAAAATTATAAAAAATATACATAATTGAAGAATATTTTTTAAATTATCACCAGGATCTTCTAATGAGAGATCTACTTTATTAGCAAAAGTGCTCGTTGATTACGTAATTTTTTTAAATAAGGTTTAAAACCACAGATTCTATGCTGATAATTGCATGGGTTATTAAGCTAAGTTTATATTTAAACGTGATATGTGTTTTCATTTCTTTGTGGCATTCCTTTGGGGAGGCCTATGTTCAGCAGTGGACTTGTGAAGGGCTGTAATGCGGATGATGATCATGATGTGTTTGATGCCGTGTAGTGGCGACGTAAGAAAAGCTACTGCCCATGACATCCCGTGGGTGTCGTAATAGGCGAAAGAGGGAACTAAAACAGGAGATGGGGAGCAGAATCTTCCTGGTAACAACTTAAAATAATAAAAAACTGGGGTTTCCAACCCACACGCTAATCGTGGAGGGTATGGCCCTATTAGGCAATCTATGAGTGAGGCTTATGTTCAACAATGGACTTTGATAGGCTGAAACTATGATAATGATGACGACGTATTTGAGTACATAAAGACATACGAGTCTACTATGACAGAGAATTGTTTGTGTTGTCAGTGAGTGCCGAAATGGTGATAATGGTAAAAAGAAAACAAACGTGCTTTGACTGAAGAGCGTATACTTAATGTAGTGACTTGGAAATTGATACAAAATTTATTTGTGACCGTACTTGTGAAATGTAGTCGGAAAGCGTCTCGAGATCGTCGTCGCCCTAGAATTAGACTTCCACATGCGATATCGTAAAGTGTCTGTTTATATTTTCCATTCAATTAAATATGTCTGCCACTTTTTGTTGTTTTACGGTTAATTACCCTAATTATCACTGTACGCATGTTCTAAAGAGACGGCTCCGTGGCTCACTGGCTTAGCAATGACTTGTAGCGCAGAGGGCCGCGGGTTGGAATCCCGCACAGAACAAGTATTTGTATGGCTAACTAATCATTGTTTTAGGTAGATGTTTGTCCTTGTGAAGTTTATGTATGTAAACTGCCCTCACAATTCAGGTGAAATCCGTAGTGTGGAAGAAAGATTATCGAGCGCATCAGAATCATTCTCGCTTGAATCGAGCGTTATAATATCGATTTTATTATTACCATTGTAAAACGTACATACATTATTTATTAACATATCAACGAAAATATCAACTTTAATTCTTATCCTATACAAACATAAGTATAACAAAAGTATGGTGAGTATGCAGTTCTCTATACCAAATTATAATGAACAATGACCTTTAAAGTGCACAATGAATTTATATGTTTATAAATATTTAAATACGTATCAAAGACTAAGCCATATGATAACAATAATGAGTACTCGAACTTTTTCAAAAATATGATAACTGCTCCGAGTAAGTAATATATGTTACTACTCCAAGAATTACTCTATTGCATTTATTAACCTTTTTTTATAGGATAGGGTGACAAACAAGCACACAGTCCACCTGATGGTGAGTGATTGCTGTGGCCCATAGACATCCACATCTATCTTCGTTTGCGA